ACGGTTTGATGGGCTGGTCTGATATGAGGACGAGGCAATGCTGAGCTGGTCGTCATATAGAGGCGGCGGTCACCATCCAGGAAGGGATGGCGAGCCCGATCGTTAACTCCCGACACTCGGCGCTGGGAAGCCGGTGTTGAGAAGAGTCACGCTGAGGCCCCGGGGCCTGGTCGTGATGTGAGGACGACAGCGATGATGAGCCAGTCCAATATGTGATGACGAGGCAATGATAGGCTAATCGTCATGTGAGGGCGACGGTCACCATCCAGGAAAGGATGGCGAGCTCGTTCGCTAGATCAGCCTTGATATAAGGTATCGTGCCTTAGCCGAGAGGCTGACCGCGATGTGAGGACGACGGCGATGATGAGCCGGTCCAAGATATGATGACGTGGCGATGTGAAGGACGATCGTCATATAAAGGCGACAGTTGCTATGCCGGAAGGGAATAGCAAGCCCGGTCACTATGGCGAGACACTTGGCGCTGGGGGCCGGTCTCGAGAGAAATAACCACACCAAGGCTGAGAGGCCGGTCGTGACGTGCGGATGGCGATGATGATGAGCCGATCTGAACGATGATGATGAGGCGATGATAAGGATGATGAGCCCGATCGCCAGATCAAGACTTCGGCGTTGAGGAGCCGGTCTATGATATAAATCATCACATCGTGGCCGAGGGGGGCCGGTCGTGATGTATGGGCGTCGGCACTGAAGGGCCGATCCAAGGATCCAAGCAACAGTCGCCATCCATGAAGGGAGGATGACTAAGACTGATCTTGAGATAGATAATCACGTCGTGCCGAGAGGTCGATCGTGATGTGCGGATGGCGATGATGATGAGCCGATTCGAGTAATGGTGACGAGGCGCTGATGAGCCGATCATCATATAAAGGCGACAGTTGTTATCTCGGAAGGGAATAACAAGCCCGGTCGCTAGCTCAAGACACTTGGCGCTGAGGGAGCCGGTCTTGAGCTAGATCATCACGTCGAGGCCAGGGGGCCCGATCGTGATGTGCGGATGGAGATGATAGGGAGCCAATCTGAATAATGATGACGAGGTGCTGATGAACCGATCGTCATATGGAAGCGATGGTCGCCATCCAGGAGGGGAATGGTGAGCCCGGTCGCTAGCTCAAGACACTTGGCGCTAAGGAGACCAGTCTTGAGATAAAGCATCACGCCGAGGCCGGGGGGGTCGGTCGTGATGAGCGGGGTGGCGATGATGGGGAGCCGATCCGAATAATGATGACGATGTGATGATGAGCCGATCATCATATAAAGGCGATGATTGCTATCCCGGAAGGGAATAGCAAACCCGGTCGCTAGATCAAGACACTTGGCGCTGAGGGAGCCGGTCTTGAGCTAGATCATCACGTCGAGGCCGGGGGGCTGGTCGTGATGTGCGAATGGCGATGATGGGGAGCCGATCTGAATAATGATGACGAGGTGCTGATGAACCGATCGTCATATGGAAGCGATGGTCGCCATCCAAGAGGGGAATGGTGAGCCCGGTCGCTAGCTCAAGACACTTGGCGCTGAGGAGGCCGGTCTTGAGATAAAGCATCACGCCGTGGCCGAGGGGACGGTCGTGATATGGGGTCGGCGATGCTGGGAAGCCGATCCACTAATATGATGACGAGGCGATGATGAGCGGATCGTCATATAGAGGCATGACGGCGCTGGGGAGGCCGTTCATGAAATGATGGAGCAAGAGCTTCGGCATTTGGAGCCGGTCTTGAGATGAATAATACGTTGGGAAATTTATTTATTTTTATTGCTCGAGGCCGGCGAGTGTGCGGTCCGTCGGCTTCCCTTTTTTTTTTGCTTCTTTTGATCGAGCGAGAAGTGTTGCCTCTGGAGGCTGTGGCCGAAGGGGTACTGCACCTTCATCAACATGCGGGTATTTTCCTCTACGCTTCTATGGCGTGGACTAAGACGAGGGAATCATTGTGCCCTCGGCTTAGCGTGTCAGTGGCTTTTGTTTAGGGGCCTTTCCTCGCCTATTTATGACGAGGGACCAGATTAGCCATTGTCTCGCGACGGTTGTCCTTGTCGGTCCTTATAAAAATTTTACTGACAGAGGGAGTTTTTGTAACCTCGGCCTTCTTTCAGGCTTGTCGTCCTGCGGTTTCCGTGCGGACGACGCGGTATGCTTCTCCGTTTGAAGACGTCGGACCATACAGACAGGTCCTTCGTCCTACATATCGTTGACCATTTCTGGGTGTTTCACCGCCTGGGCCGATGCGATATTTAGTCGTGTTTTGTTTTTCCTTGCTTAAATTTTAGAAAATAAGATGATCACGACGATTTAGGTTTATTGGGTTTCCTTTACTTGAATCTAAAAAGACAAATGGAACTCGCAATGAGTGCGTCGTCTATTGCAACGGCTTTTGGGGTGCGTTGTCTATTGCAACGGCTTTTGGGGTGTGTTGTCTATTGCAATGGCTTTTGGATGACGCAATTAGCGTCTAGGGGTGTTTTTCACATCTCTAGTACTCTATCACTAAGCTTTATAGATGTGTATGAATTTGAGCTATTCTAAGAGCATTAGATGAGTGGGGTGAAAACCGAAGTGGTGAAGGTGAATCAGCACTTGTGTTTGTTGGATGTGTTCGAGTGAATCTTTGATTCCCTTCTTTTCCACTTCGCTTCTACACTTGTTCTTCACCCACTCCTTCTGTATTTATAGACTTTGTTGTTGAATCGCGACCGTTGGCTGAGGAGTTCAATCTTGACTGTTGCTTGATCTACTTGTTTTGTTCCACTTCATTGAAGGCAGCATGGTTTGTTCTTGTCTTCTTATGACACAGATCAAATCTTCACTCAACTTATTTTCCTCATCTCAAGGCAAAGATAAAGATTGATATTTCTTTATTTCTTTAGCTCGTAGAGATTTAGTATATAAGTTGAGTGTTTGTTCAATGCTTCCGTACAATGAAATCACTTGCTTTTAGCAAAATAAATTTATAAGAAATTTTTCATAATGTGATAAAAATTTCTTATAAAATTACTTTCTATCTTTTTGTCATTTTTACTGCAAGTTGATCTTTTGTTTAATTGTTTTTGTGCTTTAGACTTTAGAGAAGATAGTAGATTTCAATTGCCTTGTCTGGGAAACTGAGGTAGGAGCCAGCTGAAATGTTTTCAGTAGGCTATTGCTTTGGTTTTTCTAGATGGCTGCCGATTTCTTAAATGATTCAGTTGACTCTTTTCGTACCTTTTCTTTTTTATTCTTTTCTTTTTGTTTTTGGTACGTTTCTTCTCTTTTGAGTACTCTTTGATTTTCTTGAGTACTTTGTCACTAATATAGTAGCACATTACAATAAACATAGTAGAACAAGTATATGAGAATCTAGTCTAATACAGGGATAATAAAAGAGGTTTGGCATCATCAAAACCATATATATTAATCATCAAAATCAAGGGACCTAACAATTTCCCCCTTTTTGATGATGTCAAAAACTGGAATAAAAAACAAACAAAATGAGACATGAAATCACACCTGAGATGCCAAAATTCTTTCCCCCTTTTTCTGCATCACTCAAAATGTACTTTCTTCTTTGCTTGGAAGGGCTTTGCTGAGATGATTCCCCATGATAAATTCCCAAGGTAGCCTTCATCTTTCTTCTTTCATTTGTTTGTTTGACTTCTTCCAATCTGCGCTGGTATATCTTGGTGATGTGTTCCATTGAGATTACAACCTCAATGCTTTTCGTTCTTAAGCATCCCAGAGCAAATCGTTCTTCTTGTTGCATGTGAATTGCAGTCTGGAGAAGATTGTTGAGTTAGGGCTGGGTTCGGTTTGGGACCCGAACCGATTTGTCGGTTTGAAAAACCGAACAGATTTTTCGGTTTTGGAGAAAATGTAAACCGGAACCGATGTAGAATCGGGAACCGGTTTTTTGGGAACCGAAAAATCGGTTCGGTTTAACTGGGACCCGCCAAAGACATCCTTTAATATGCAAACTAAGACCTGTAAACATACTTTGGTGCTAAACTGCAGTTTTTTAAGCAAAGTTAAAAAGATTATGTAAAGAAGACTCTAACCAAGTACTGAATCACTTGCTCACTAAAAAAAATTCACACACAATATTAATCATTAATCATTCACCAACAATAATAAAATCCAACAACACCCATAGTAAAATCCAACAGTCTATTTCATAACAAATCGAACATTCAACACAATAAACATCCAATCCTTTAACATCCCATAAGATGGGAACAAATCAAAACCAAATTCAAAAGTAGATACGTTGAGTTTAATTTAAAAAGGACAATGTTCAAGAACATCCAAATAGACTAACAAAGGACTTCAAAGTTGAGAGCATGTGTACAGCGTACTGCCATTAATCATCCTGCATTTCACATAAAAATAAAAAATGTTAATATATAATATATCAATAAGGACTGCCATACATGATTACCAGATTATGTATATTAATGCATTATATATATTACGCAAGTATGTGTTGATAACTTGTTAAATCAACATGAAGAATATGGCTTCAGTAATCACATCTCATGGCCTCTAAAAATAATGCACTGCCATAGCTACCAGAAACTTTTGCAAGTGACTTTTTATATGCTTCATAGGAAAAAGCTAGAGCTTCTCCTAGGAGCTAGAAGGGAAAAAGACATCTAATAAATTCTAGGAGACATCAATCTTCTTCACTTCACCAGTGGATCCGTAATATATTCCCTCTACAACTCCTATTCTCTTAACTTGTTAATAGGGCAGAGCACGGGTCGGGTTCGGGCGGGTCGGGTTCAAAAATGGTAAACCCCGTTCGGGTATCGGATTGATAATTTCAAACCCTACCCGATCAAAAAATTTATCGGGTTTTTCAGGTTGAAGAAGTTCGGGTTTCGGTCGGGTTGGTTCGGTTTTCGGGTCCATTCGGATTTTAATTTATTATTGTTGAAATTGTGATACATAAAATGGTAATTGGTAAAAATATCATTCAAAGTTATACTAGTATAACATTCAAAGTAATAGTTGTATAAATACGGTAATCGACATATTTGAACATGTAAAATAATAATATACGGTGATTGACATATTTGATATTATGATAAATAAAATGATAATTGGTCAAAATATCATTCAAAATCATAACAATACAACATTCAAAGTTATAGTTTTACAAATACGGCAATTGGAATATTTGATATGCATAATATGGTAATTGGCATACAATAATTGAGATATTTGAACATGCATAATAATTCAAAGTAGTATATATACTACCCTAGTTCGGGTTTTCGGGCGGGTCGGGTAGCATAATTGGTAACCCTACCCGCTACCCACTTAACTCTCGGGTTGCAAAAATCGGATCGGGTTTGGGTCATTCGGGTCGGGTTATCCGACCCAAAAAATAAAATCGGATATATCCGATCGGGTCAATCGGGTAGGGTCGGGTTTGCTCTCCCCTACTTGTTAATATGTATGAATTCAAAGTTTAATTCATTCTCTCAACAACTATGATTCTTTGTGGAAAAAAACAAACAAACTGGACATTAAAATTTAAAACAGCTTATTCAAGCTAAGAGACTGACCAACTAGAGGTTTGTCATCCTAGTCCACCCCTTTGGTTCATGTTCGCAGTTTGTCAGGTTCTGAGGATCTTTCTCTCAATAATGGCCCTATTTAAGAGTTAGTTAGAGGACAATATATCATAATAAATGTAGATCAAAATTACACAGTTCAACAAAAAATTAAAAATATCAATTTCATATATGAAATTTAGACATGTTAACAATAATACTCTATAACATTTATGATTTTCAGAATACTCAACAGTATACTTACCAGATTATGTAAATTAATCCATGATGTATATTATATTACATTATAATATAAAAAAAAGCTAATGGGAATGAGAATAGGAAAGAAAACCTTCATCAAGTTGTCATGGATGATTAGATGATCCCATACTTCTCCCACGTTTTCTTGTGTTTGATGGAGCCCCTCTTGAACCTACACGTGAAATTGGTGGGAGTTGGCTTTGAACTTGAGAGCGTGATGGTGGGGGTGGTAATGTTAAATTTCCTTGAACAGGTGGTGGCACTTGCACTACATTAGGCATACCTATATTAGTAGTTTTGGACTTTTAATAACCACAACAAATATAATAATAATATTAATAATAATAGTAAACCAATAATAATAATAATAACAATAATAATTAATAATAGTAATAAATTACTCAAGAAAGTTAGCCACTTACTTTGCTCTAGTTCTTCAAGTTCCTTATAGAACTCAAGCTCTTCATCTGTAGGCTCTTTGTAGAAATGGAATTCTTCCCCTTTTAGCCAATCACGAGTACACACTAAGGCCTCAACCATTCTAGGAGTTAATGAAGCTCTAAATGGATCCACAACTGATGGAGTATATGGCCCAGGAATCCCCGGCCCATAGACTCCTACTTCTCCTACACAAGCCCATTAGGCTCAGGGAACAACTCAGGCCCAAATACAACGGCCCAAGCCTCAAAGTAGCCCGGAATGCACACTGGGATGCCTTCGGCCTCCTTGGCCGAGGGCTCCAAAACCCACAGGATAGCCTCCTCTGGCATAGGAAGCTTCTGGGAGAAAATGGCGAAAAACATGAGCCTTCGGCATCATGGCCTTCGGTCACATAAGGCCTTCGGCTACTAGAGACCTTCGGCTGCACAGGGGTCCTGGTCGCATGGAGCCCTCGGCTACACCAGGATCCTTCGGCCAGACACGCTCAATCATCGAAGATTCCTTTTGGAGACAGCCAACCACCGCATTTAATGCCACGTCACATCCGTCAGCCGCATTCAATGCGGTAAACGTACCTCTGCCGGTGCCAACCGGTTGATGTGACCCTTCGGCCGTTGGATTACTGACACGTGTCCTCTCATCGCATTTATTGCTGCTATAAATAGCAGCCCATTTCTCCTTGTAATGGACATAATCTACATCCCAACTCCACATCTCGAGTTCATTTAATAAAATCGACTCTCTCTCCTCCTATTTTGCTCTGACTTCTCTCTAGTTATTTCCGCAATAACCCTTCGGATAAGATACCCCCCGGGTAGATTGTCCATCATTTGGTGCTCTCGTTGAGAGGTCAGAACAATCAAGTAAGAAACCCTCCCCCTCTACCAAATACACAAAACACTCGCCAAAAATGGGAAGAACCACCCGTGCCCAATCCAAAACCCTCGAGGAGAACCACGTAGCCCCCGGCGAGACTAACGGGGTTGAGGCCTCCAACAGGCTCTTAGTACCCGAGGGTGGTATCATCCTCGAATTGGAACAGGCTACCGCTGACCTCCGTCAGCAGCTACAGAAGAGCGCCCCTGATGCCCGCGTTGGCCTTGATAATCGAAGGAGGGATCGGAGTGAGAACCAAGTTCCCCCTCCGGCCCCGGCCATCGATCTTCAGGCTGCCTTTGCGGCCTTTGTTCAAAACATGGCTCTCAATTCCGGGGCCCTCGCCTCTCAGGCACCCCTTCAGCCCTACGCTGGGGGAAATGTTATTCAATTGCCACCGCTCCCTCCTCTGTTCAACAATCCTCCCCCGGGGATTGGGAACGCCGAAGGGGTCATGGCGCAGGACACCGCCTCCCAAGAGGCCCAATCCAGGGATAAACGTCCCTTGATGAAGGAGAAACCCCGGACCTCTGCACTTGAGAGGCTTGGGGGAGCTCCCATACGCCGGGGGGTCCAAGACCGCCTCGGCAAACAGGAATTCAGCAGGCCTCAGGAGAGTGGGGCCTCCGCTTCGGGAGCCGAGGGCATACCTCCGCCCCGGAGCAAGGGCAAAGCCATCCTCCATGCCGATGACGCCAGACACCAGATCAATCAGGCGCAATCCTTCCGGGCCAACTCCCAAGGGGTTGCTCCGAAGGATCCCAAGGACGAAATCATTGAAGCCCTCCTCCGTCAACTCGAGGAGAATCGTCAGGCACCCCCGACGGCTTCCACAGCGAGGCCAGATCCAGAATACGCTGACCTCCGGGCGCAAGTAGAGGAAATGAAGCGTAAGCTCGCCGAAGGTTCAGGCGAGCCCCTCATTCAACTCCGCACTAGAACACCCTTCACCCCAAGGGTGTTGGCGGCCAAAATCCCCCACAAATATCGCGGGCAACCCATCAAACCATACGAGGGGAAAACAGATCCCCAAGAACACTACAGCAGATATCAGAACAGTATGATGATGATGGGGGACTCGGATGAATACTTATGCCGATGGTTCCTTTCCACCTTGGAGGGGCCAGCGTATGAGTGGTTCAACCGGTTGCCCGAAGGCAGCATCGATTCCTGGCAGGAACTTGCCCACCGCTTCCTTACGCAATTTGCCGGGAGGCACCGCTCGAAGAAGCACTTCTCCCACCTTCTGAATGTAAGACAACAGAAGGAGGAAACCCTTCGGAGTTTCCTAGAACGCTGGAGGCAGGCCTCCCTCGAGGTCGAGGGCGCCGATGACAGGACCCTGATGGCCCTCTTCCACACAGTCCTCCGCAATGGTAACTTCTCCCGGAGCCTTATCACCGATCCCCCCCGCGATTATACAAAGGCCCTTCAGCGGGGGGACCGATATGCTGAAGCGGAGGAAATCGAGAAGGACCGCCGCAACACGGATCCTTCCCAGAAGAATGAAGGCAGGAATCGGCCCGGGGGGCCTCCCCCTCCGGTCAACCGAGAACCCCATCACAGTGATCGCTCCCGAGGTGGCCAAGCCAGACCCGGGGGCGGTTACAAGAATAATCCGAAGGCATGGGCGCAACCCGTCCTCCTTGAGCACCCACGCACTCCCTTGACGCATCCCGTCAGCGTCATTCTTGATCATGCGGAAGAGCGGGGGCTCGTCGAGCGAGACTCCCGTACACCCCTCGAGATCTATGCCATCGGCCCTGATGAGCCATATTGCCGCTTTCACCGCCACCACGGGCACAAGACCGACGACTGCCACCAACTGAAAACGCAATTGAGAGGCTGATACAGGCGGGCCACTTGTCTCAGTTTATCAGGGGCCCTCCTCCCCAGGGCCTCCTTCACCATCAAGGGCCTCCGCCGAAGGCAAACAAATGGGTGAACCCCAACACCATCCCCTTGGGGAACCCACAGGGGAAGAAACGTGAAATCGGTGGCCTCGATGACGAGGGAGAGGGCTCCCATCAACAATACAAGCGCCATATCCATATGATCAACGGCGGCAACACCGGAGGCGATTCAACAAGCCAAAGGAAGAAGTGGGCTCAATCCCTTTACGTTGGGGAAGTCAATCACACGCCCCCAACCAAAAGGCCGAGGGCGGAGCCCATCTTCTTCACAGATGCGGACCTCCCCTCGGGCTCCCTGCCGCATAGGGATGCCCTCGTCATCCGCACTGAGATCAATGACGCCATCATCCACCGGACTTACGTTGACACAGGGAGTTCTGTCAACGTCATGTATCTCAGCACTTTTCGAGAGTTGGGACTCGACAGGGGGTCCCTCCGACACATCAACACCCCCCTCTCCGGATTTACGGGGGACAGCATAGACGCCGAGGGCGTCATCACCCTCGTGGTTGAGTTCGGCGACGGATCCCATAGAGCCAAGCTCGAAGTGGAATTTGTCGTCGTCAACCTCGACTGCGCACACAACATCATCCTCGGCCGGCCCGCCCTCGAGGATTTGGAGGCCGTCATCTCTATGAGGCATCTCTGCCTCAAGTTCCCCACACCCACCGGCATCGGCTACTCGAGGGGGAATCAGAAGCTCTCCAGGGCCTGCTACCTTCAACTCACCAAGAAGGTTAGTAAAACTGAACTTCGTGTTGACACGATCACCACCAAAGCCTTGGAGGAAGAGGAAGGCAGGCCGAGGGCTGAGCCTGCCGAGGAAACCGAAGACTTGATACTCGATCCGGCCAAGCCGGAGAGAGTCTTGAAGATCGGAGCCAAGCTCCCCGAAGACCTGAAGGCTGGCATCACCGAAGCTCTCCGCGCCTACTCCATTGTTTTCGCATGGGGGCCGGAGGATATGCCAGGAATTGACCGAAGGGTTATCACCCACCGCCTTACGGTGGACCCTTCGGCCAAGCCGGTACAACAACGGAGAAGACCCCTCTCGGCCGAGAGAAGGGAATTTGTGAAAAAGGAGGTGGCCATGCTCCTCTCTATCAAACACATCAAGGAGGTGAGATACCCTTCTTGGTTGGCAAACGTAGTCCTCGCACAGAAGCCTCCTACCTTCCGCATGTGCGTGGACTACACTGATCTGAATAAGGCGTGCCCTATGGACCCCTTCCCTCTGCCAAACATTGACCAACTGGTGGATGAGACCGCGGGATGCGAGATCATGTCGTTCCTCGACGCATTCCGCGGATATCATCAAATCTACATGCATGAGGAAGACGCTGAAAAAACTGCCTTCATGACACCCGAAGGCATCTTCTGTTATCTTGTGATGGCCTTCGGCCTCAAAAATTCAGGCGCCACCTACACACGCATGGTGGCTAGGGTCTTTCAAGCTGTCCTAGGACGCACCATGGAGGCTTACGTTGACGATATGATCGTCAAGAGTAGGAAGGCAAGCACTCACGCCGACGACCTCCGGGAGATTTTTGCCATCATGCAAAAATTCAACCTCCGGCTAAATCCAAAGAAATGCACCTTCGGCGTGCAGGGAGGAAAATTCTTGGGCTACATGGTCAGCCGAAGGGGTATTGAGGCCAACCCCGAGAAGATTCAGGCCATCATCAACATGGAGCCCCCACGCAATGTCAAAGAAGTTCAACGGCTGACGGGTCGCCTGGCAGCCCTCAACCGTTTCCTCTCCAAATCAGCCGAGAGGGCCCTCCCCTTCTTCCAGATCATGAGGAAGACGGCGGGTTTTCAATGGACATCTGAATGTCAAGAGGCCTTCGACGAACTCAAAAAGTACCTCTCCTCTCCCCCAGTGCTCTCCAAACCAAAGGTGGGGGAGACTTTATACTTATATCTCGGTGTTAGCCCTGCGGCTATCAGCTCAGTACTAATCCGAGAGGAAGACGGCATCCAACATGCCATCTTCTACGTCAGCAAAACCCTCCGGGAGGCCGAACTCAGGTATTCTCCCGTCGAGAAGACGGTGCTAGCCATCGTTTGGACCGTCAAGAAGCTTGGCCACTACTTTCAAGCTCATCCGGTCCAAGTGCTCACTCATCAACCCCTCGGCGCCCTCATGAGGAGTCCCACTAGCTCCTCTCGGATGGTGAAATGGGCCATCTTCCTCAGCCAATACAACATAGATATCCGTCCGAGGCCTGCCATTAAGGGCCAAGCCCTGGCAGACTTCGTAACGGAATGCACCGCGAGATCAGCGGTGGATGAGGAGCCTTCGGCACCCCTTGATGAGTGGTGGACCCTCTACACCGATGGC